TCCAGCCAACCAATCAGCAGCCTGTTCACAGCATGCTTTTTCTGCCCCGCCCCCAGACCCCTCCCCTTCCTGTTACAACCTATGTTTTCTCATTCTCTCTGTGTGGTTTTCTTTTTCTAATTCCCTTCCTCATTACTGAGGACCTTCAGCATTGGGACAACTTCAGCTTTCCCCTTAAAACGTGCCACACCACTTCACTATTACATTCTGAGACCTGGCTGTTTGGGTTTGGGTTTTTTTTGTTTGTTTGTTTGTTTTTCTGCCAGAGATTCTGTCAGAAAATCATACAGTAAAACTTCTTTTGTTTCAGGAAAACGTCAGTAAATCAAAAATGATGACTTTTGTCAGATTTAGTGCTATAAATCTACACTTATTGAACACGTTTATACTTATTCGTTCACGCAGTTATCCAGTGCAGTGCGTAAAATCATGCAGCTACATGTCAAGAGCTTTATTAGACATCAGGATGAGGAACAAAAACATCATCTCGATCGACTTGAACTTTGGCGTGGTTGACGGTGCCAGATCGGCCGGTCTGAGGAGTTCAGAATCTACTGATCTAGTGTTTATAGCGAATGGCGTGAAAAAGAAAAAACATCCATCGAGCGGCTGTTCTGTGCGCGTGAACACCTCGCTGATGAGAGAGGGTCGTCTGCGGAGAACGGCGAGAGTGGTTCGAGCTGACAGGAAGGCTATGGTAATTCAAATAAGCAATTTTACCACCATGGTGAGCAGAAAAGCATCTCAGAACACACTTCAGACCTCGAGGCGGACGGGCTGCAACAAAAGCGGAACACATAAGGTTTGAATTGTCGGTGAGTTATATTGATCTGTAGATATACTTCTGCACACGGTGGCTTAGTGGTTAGCACTTTCACCTCACACCTCCAGGGTCTGGGGTTCGAGTCCCGCCAGGGCCCATGTGTGTGTGGAGTTTGCATGTTCTCCCTGTGCTGCGGGGTTTCCTCCGGGTAATCTGGTTTCCTCCCCCAGTCCAAAGACATGCATGGTAGGTTGATTGGCGTGTCTAAAGTGTCCGTAGTGTATGAATGGGTGTGTGTGAGTGTGTATGTGATTGTGCCCTGCGATGGACTGGCACCCTGTCCAGGGTGTACCCCGCCTTGTGCCCGATGCTCCCTGGGATAGGCTCCAGGTTCCTCGCGACCCTGAAAAGGAGTAAGCGGTAGAAGATGGATGGATGGATGGATGGATGGAGATTTACTGATTGACGTCATGAGTTCTCTAACATCCCTGAATTTACATGGACGTCGCACCGGTGTGAGCGGGCAAACATTACAACTTCACGTACCGTTATTTCAGCTGGCGTTCAGTGAGCAAACCCATACCATTACCCATCACTGAGTGGATATTTTTTTCTATTTAAGAGATTTAAGGATTCATTCAGGATGTTTTTCTCTGCATGCAAACTGTAAATGAATGTTAGTGAATAAGTTAAGTCGAGAGCCTTTCTTTCTTCCTCTCCCTTCCATTCTGTTGCACTGGTAAACAAAATGAATTGCCTCTGACAGCACTTGTCACTAGCTGACACACAGTTCCTCATTTAGAATGGCAAACATGGAAGAAAAAAAAAAGCCTTATGTAAGAGCCCCCACCTCTATGCACAAATCCTCATGTCCCTTCGTGCAGGTCAGAGGAGGACGTGTACGCCTGAGGAGAGGACGCCGATGGACAAAGCCACGTCTGGATGGAGGGACATGCAGGATCAAATGGTTTACGGGGTGCTTCGAGTTTTGATTCGTGCGGATGAGTACAAAGGAGTTCATGGGGACCTGGTACAGAAGAAATGAGCTTCGGATTCATCCGTGTACGCAGAAGATGAGAGAGGAAACGCAGTTTAGACAAATATAGAGGACACCGTTAATTAGACGCACAGTAGCATGGCCAGGAATTATTTTTAGGCAGGGGATGAGGAAATGCCTAAAGTCCGTTTTTGTTTTATTGAGGTCAATCCAGGAAACATTGTCACGGTCCATTATGTGGATCAAAGACCGGGTTAAACAAAGAATATCCATCAGCACTATCTGGGGAAACATGAGCATCTAGAAACAGAAAACAAGGCTTAAAATGAAGGAGAAAAAATCGCATGAAAAGACAAAGAAACGAATCAAGGACCAAACATAAAACGGGTGAATACAACAGGGCAACCAACCAATGACAGGACACGGGTGGACACTGTGCTAGAACAGAAAAGGATGTGGAAATGAAAGGACCTGAAAGCAGGGGAGTGTAAAGATGGCAGTAGGAGAAGCAGTGGTGGTCCACCATCGACCAATCGTGCCTTTTTACAGTCCCTCCAGGATTTCGCGATTTTGCGATTGCAGAAACGAATCAAAATTAGCGCCGATTGTCCGCAGATCCGGGCCGATCTCACGTCGTCACGACGCACGTTCAGCCATAGCCCACTTCGATTCACGTGCGTCGAACATGCGTACAGCTAAAAGGTCTCGTTTTACCAACAAACATCGCTGCGGAAGTTGAGACAATTACGATTTCGCCAATTCAAGTAGCTTTCTGCAAAAAAGCAGAAAACTCCGCAAGTTGCATCGCAAATTTTGGAGCAAGATCGAGCATTCCTGGCCGCAACGATCACAAAACGACTCGGTGAAATCCTGTCCGGAATGTTTCTGATATCATTAAGGCGCATAAATCAAAATACCTTCGTGACAATTCTAGGAAACCGGTTACAATTTTTTGATGACCTATCCTGTACTTGTCTTGTCTTTGTCCGATGTAATATTCTCCAGAAGTATTGGCCCCTCCAACAACTCTACGCGAACTTATTAGATGGCGAGAAATCTTTAAAGTCTTCGCTGTATTTCGTATTTATTTAGCTCACTATCCTACTCTCAAATAGTTTGTGTACTCTATCTTACCAACCGATCGCCAAACTCAGTCGAGCTCTTCAACGAACCGTTCACCTGACATCCTGTTTCGAAAGGGAATGTGTCATATACACAGAAGCAAATCACGGTTCTCGAGCCATTTCTCAAGGACCTTAACTAGGAAAAAGTCGTAATGATGACTTCGGACATTTTATGTAAGTACTGTACAAAAGAATCTTATATGACACGTATATAGTAGGCTGCTCTAAGTGAGATTTAGACAAACATTCAGTGGGCAAATAATCGCTTAGGACTCAGGAAAGGGAAACACCAGAAAGCTTACTTCAGTGAAAATAAGGACACAATATGGACATATGAATTGTATAAGGGCACAAGGAGAACATGGATACTGGGTTATGTAGGGACTGATATAGACTGTTACATCACTCGTGTCCTCTGGCTCACTGTCCTTATATAGAGAGAGAGAGAGAGAGAGAGAGAGAGAGAGAGAGATTGACCATTCCTCCCCTACAGCTAGCTCACTAAAGCTCACCCTTTAATCTGCTTAATGTTACTCTCATTAGTCAGTGTTCTAGTCAGTGTCGAGCTGAATAAATAATACACGAGTTTTGTTTCTTATAATAGTTCTACACTAATTCGTGTAAGAAGCAGGAGTACCATTTCACATACTCAATTTCGAATTCTATTTAACCATAAAAGACCTCAATCTCAATCAGTCAAGGTTCTCTTCTTTCACTAGCATTTCTGAGAGTCGTAGATGAGCCTCGGGCGTCCTGCAGACTGACACGCCGCTGTGTAGGCACTTGCTTTTTTAACCTTGGCATTTTTCACATACGTGTGAAAGCATATTCAAATATGGAGGCCTTCACAGATTTTTCTCCACACCATGCTCGACCGTGCACAGAGGCACAGTCCTGGACTGTGCGGCTTGAGCCCTATCTAGTGGTTAGATGCTGTTGTGAGATGATGTTGTTTTTTTGTTTTTTTTTTCCAATAGAAGCAGAAAATGTGCCAGTTGGGACATCTTGTCCATTTTGTGAGCTCTCGGGTTAATTCATGCATGTAATTCTTTAATTGGGCTGCGATCTGTATCCTGCAGATATTACATTTACAAATGACATTTTAAAACACAGTAAAGGGTCCTTCACAAGAACTTCTGTTTTGGATGAATAACGGAATAAAAACGTTTATAAAACCTACAAAATCTACAGCACTTTGCCTGTCACGGTCCACTATGTATAACTGCATTTTACCTTGAAAAATGCTTACAAAAAAAAGGTATTATTTTTTGCATTAATATGTGAATAATCCATTTAATATCTGATGTTTGAAACATCTTGCTCCAGGAGTTAAAGGTTATGAAAAAGTGTCCATTATGAAAAAGTGTCCATTTTATTTTGCTAGTTAACCACATATTGTGCGTTTGCTTGTTCTATGCTAAATAAAGAAAACAACAACAAACCCTTTATTCATAAAAGAGCTCAATTCAGCCTGTCAGCACAGAAACCTTTCTTCCTGTGATGTCTTAAGGAGTACTTGAATAGCTCAAGGTTTTATTAGACTCACTATTAAAAAAGGAAAAAGTGTTACGAGGGTTAAATGGCACTGCAATCATTAGTGGATCGTTCAGTAAGTACTATGAATTATACAGAAATGAATAGGAACGGTACAAAATTATGACTCCAGACCTTTTTACGAATTACAGGGGTTTTACAGGGAAAAAGTCCTCATTAAATTATAAGAGCAGGAATAAAATAAATGTGAAAATAATTAAGGAACCACCTGACCAACCTAGAGTATATATATACAACATGTTGCCTTATGGCTGTAGAATTATTTTAATGTTGTAATGTCTCCATCCATCCATCTTCTACCGCTTATTCCTTCTTCAGGGTCACGGGGAACCTGGAGTCTATCCCAGGGAGCATGGGGCACAAGGCGGGGTACACCCTGGACAGGGTGCCAGTCTATCACAGGGCACAATCACATACACATTCACACACCCATTCATACACTACGGACACTTTAGACACGCCAATCAGCCTACCATGCATGTCTTTGGACTGGGGGAGGAAACTGGAGTACCCGGAGGAAACCCCCGCAGTACAGGGAGAACATGCAAACTCCGCACACACAGGGCCCCGGCGGGTATCGAACCCCAGACCCTAGAGGTGTGAGGCGAACGTGCTAACCACTAAGCCACCGTGCACCCCCCATGTTGTAATGTTTCTTTGAAAAAAATTACTAAAAAAAATTGTTAAATGTTCAGTTTGTGTAGGTTGAACTGATTTGAAAAGGGAATTCCGCAATAAATGAATCAAACTCATGTACAATGTATGCACTAGAACTAATCACTTTATTATTTTGTTACTATTGCATCATTTAATCACTGACATTTTCAGGATTGTCGATCAGCAGCAAATAAATGTTAATTGATGTTCTGTGATTTTACACAGCCTTGGCCAGACCCACAGAGTTGTTTGCCCTGTCGAAGACAGTGTAGTACTGCCTAATGAACACATCACCCAGGATCCACAAGCTCGAGCTGCTGGGGCTGAAACCGGTGCGGCAGCCGTAGTAATAAGACTGTAAAGAACACACAGGGTTGAGCGGGTTAGTAAGGGATCTTATTAGACTTAACCTCACATCCCAAGTCATTTTGTCCAAACAAACTGGACCCATAGTCATGAAAGTTTGCTTTGTGCCACAGGAACTCACCTGACGGGTATAGGCTGAGGCAGGTAGGGTGAAGGCATTGCCGTTGATGTTAAAGGTCAATGTAGGCATGCTTGCAATGTTGTTGCAGTTCACCACAGCCTAAGAAATGACAAGCAGTCCGTAATTAAATTCCACTTGAACATGGGTAGACAAACAAAATCTGCTATAATCAATGTTAGATTATGAAATATATCTGCATCGGTCTGGAAAAACCCACTGGGATTTGAAAAAGATGAAAAATGCCAACGTGGATGTATTTTCATCACCATTTGGATAGTTTTACCAGGCCACAACACATTTGATTTATATTTACACATTCAGCTCTGTTGAGATAATAGTGGTCAAATTATTAAAAATAATGGTGGACCCAGTCTTGTTCCCTGAATGGCAAAAATGTAGATATGGCAGAAAAATAGAACCTCTGAAACAACTAATCTGACTTGCTGTAGAGATTTCATGAATTAATTGTAGTGATAATACACATTATGTGAGATAGCTACTTTAATCCAAATGAGGTAAATAATGGGAATGCCATAACACAAAATGAGCTCTGGATTGTAATTCTGACATACACATATTCCACTGTAAAATAGATGGATGGAAAAACATACATCTGGAGTGCCTTTACTTACATCTCCATTGTTCACGGTGGCTCCCACCCAGCTGTTCATGTTGTTGATGTCACTGGTAGGGCCAGCGATCAGGGAGGTACCAGTATCCACAATAGCCTGGCATCCACCATTGCAAGCAACAACCTGTCCGTTGATGGTGACACTTTGGGGAAAAAATAGAACACCAAATACAGTGGCCATGGTTGCTTGTTTATAAATTTTCAACATGGATTTGGTACAACATTAATAATCCATTCAAAGAAATTTGTTGTAACTTGAAAACAGTTGAAAAGAAAAGTTGTTACCTGTCCATGGTGATCTGCCAGTATGTCTCAGAGGACAGAGGGATCCAGACCAGAGAACCAGTGTAGTGGTTGGGGTTGTATCCACCGAAAATAACCTCACTGCCAGTTTGAGAGTTGCTGGGGGTGGAGGACATGACCATGTCAGATTATTTACATTTGTTCATTTGACTGATGTTTTTATCCAAACTGACTTGCAAGTGAGACAGGATACACTGAGTACTTAAAGTTTAAGTGTCTTGTTCATGGACTCTTGTAGTGGTAGCTTTGTCATACCAGGATTTGAACCTTCCGATCAGTTGCCCAAAACCTTAACCACTATCCCACCACTTACAATTGAACTGCTTCATAGCAACACCAAAGACTAGTTTCAGACATCAAAGACTAGTTTCAGACATCAAAGACTAGTATCAGACAGCCATCTTTGTACCAAATACAAAAGCTTTGACAAAGACAGACTCTTGATCGTGTTTATGCTTGAATTGAATGTACAATTTTAAAGTCCTTTTGAAACAGATTAGCTTCTTGGTACTATCTAACACTTCTGTGGTAAACTCAGTATTGTCCACAAAGGAAAGTCCAATGATCAACTTTTTGTCCTATTACCACCATTTTCTGCTGGCCACTTTGAGTTAGACCAGCCTACATTGGCAGTCAGTGAAGTCAGGAGCTTACATGTACAAATAATAATAGGTGATATCCTTAAGTCTGATGTATTTCCCTACTCATAGAAAGTAAAGTCACTTCCTTCCTGCTTACTCAAACACGTTGTGCCTCAGCACCTGTAACTGAAACCGCAATGATTGACTTGTAACTTGTGTAAAGCAAACATATTACAAACATTTGTTCTCTTACCTGCTTAGGTAGACCGAGAAGTAATCCTGCACAAGACCCTGCTGGACCATGTTGTCAAAGACGGGCTGGGCATTGGAGGCAGCAAGTTGGGGGTAGGCCAATCCCAGAATACCATCAGCCTTCATATGGGCCATGAAGGGTGCCTCGGTTTGACTCAGTCCAAAGATCTGATGGGGAACCTGAATACCGCCCACCTAGAGAGAAGATCATCAAGTAAGTACCAAAAACTTGAACTAGTTGAAGTCATTTCAACCCAGAGGCATTCTTAGTTGTTAGGTATAAGTAGTATACTGTAAGTATAGTGAGATATCACGGCTGTTATTAGATAATTTTGAAGACATTCTAACCGCAACAGTGTCATATCCGAGGAAGCCAGTCATGCTACCGGTGCCGTACTGGATTGACAGAGGCTGGTTGGTGGCCTGGAAGGTGCTGGATTGCTGAGGATTGAACCTAACATGGTTGGCTGTAAGAGAGAAAAAGGCCTATTGCTTCTTGTAACCTTTAACATCTGGTAAAGAGGCTATTAAAAATTTGTAAATGAGAAACATGTTAATCAGTTGGATGGTTGCTACGCACAGCAAGCAGCACTGCTGCAGTAGACGGAGGGAACCCAGAGGTTGGAAGAGCCGGTGTCGAAGATAACCTGGAACGACTGAGGAGGAGTGCCAATGGAGATCACGCCATAGTAGGCAAGCTGCAGAGAGAAAGAGGGTGAAGCTATCACAAACAAATCCTGGAGTTTTTATTCTTTCATTTGGAAATCATTAGTTATTGATTTTGTCTCCATAGAAACATCCGAATGCACATGATAGTGTCTTAGCATAGTTTTCTCAACAGCAGGAGCTGAAAAATGAATTTACATCAGCATCGTTGGTCATGGATTCGTAACCAACAGCATAGCTCTGGGTGAACTTGGCCATTGGGTTGTAAGGGTACATCTTCCTGTACTTCTCCCAAAGACCCTTCTCCTCTAGTGCTTCACGAGCACTCTTCCCCTTGGTCAGAGGAATGCTGCCATAAAGAGATGCAAAACAATATGTTTTCGGTCATTGGCATACTTGCTTTAAAAGCCATTCAGAGACAATATCACCTCGCGTACTGCATAGACTGATATAAAGTTGAAAAGCAATGAGAGTAATGCAGAAAAAAAACACTCTTTGAAGCAAGTTGCATTAAATACTGGATGCAAGAGACAAATGGAGAAAAATTGTTAGCTGATGAACCCCCAAAAAACGCCCCAACACAAACCCCCCCCCCCCCCCCCCCCCCGCCGCCGCGTGGTGTGTTGTCGTTGTTTTAACTGTAAAAACACCCCAATCTTCCTCCGGGTTTGTTTTTTTTTTTACAACATCCACCTCTTCATATATATCTCCTGGATAAGGAACTGCATAGGTCATATTGTGATAAGAAATAATTTTAGATAAAAAAAAACTAATATCATATAGACAAAAACAATAACTTAAAAACTTAAAATTAAAAACAACAACTCTAAAAACAATATTTATAATATTATTATATAACAACAAAAATAAACTAATAGAACTTTTATAACCTTAATTTAATTTAATATAACCAAATCTAAACTATTATCTCATTGAACTATACTACTAATGTATAAGAACACTGATATATAATACGGATAAAAAACTGCAAAATACAAACTGATAATTATTAATACAATAATATTGATATTATTAACATATAATTAATTAATGTAATTTTATAATAAATATGAAAAAAAAAAAAAAAAAAAAACAAAAAAAAAAAAAAAAAAAACAAAAAAAAAAAAAAAAAAAAAAAAAAAAAAAAAATATTTAACCTATTTTAACTGATTAGTATTAGAAATTAAATAAGATTAGTAATATTATTATATTAATATAATAATAAAGTATAATAACAGTATTGGTTTTTTTTTTTTCATACATAAATATATAAATATTAAAACAGTAAAAGTGACAGGTACATTCTTATTTTTATTTTTTTTTTTTTATAATAATAATCTATTTGTATTTTATTTTTACTGTAATGTAGAATATAATCGTATATATTATAATATTTTTTACATAAATATTTATAATATACCATTAATAACACGAAAGAAGAACAGAGATAAATGGGATTACTGTAGTAATGGATAGTAATGAAGCACAAAATACAATATAATATACCAAAAAAAAAAAAAAAAAATTAAAAAATATAAAAAAATTAAATATAATTAATATTAATGAATATAATATTAATGAAACTTAATAGTTGTAAAATACACTTTGTGGTAAAATAAACTTTTAAGTATCCTGTCATCTTTTTTTGTTGTATGGTATATGGGAAATTAATTTTTTGGCTTTTACTATAAGCAGTCGTTATGTGACATCTAATTCCCATTAACCTAAAGACAGAGACGGCTCTTTCTCAATTAGTTCCTCGTTCCCACTCTTGAGTTTTCATTAGTGCCACTCAAATATCACATTACAAACAAGTGGGAGGTTGTTTTCATAGCTACGCTGTCAGGATCTTCTCACCCGTCATAATTACACTGCAGGATGTTTTCAGTATACGGCTGGAGTTTTCTGTACAATTTGCAGTTGATCGAGTTTTATTTATTGAGCAAAATGAATGAAGCTATAATCAGACAGACATGAAAAATGTGGTTTAATTATAGGACAATTTTTGCGCTAATGGTTCAGCATCAGCGCCTTCCTATTGAGATCCAGATGTTCAAT